AATAACTCATAAAAAATATTAAAATCAAATACTTTCAAAAACATGCTCTCACAAAAAGCAAACGACCTGCGATCATGTTTGAATTTTAGGGCTTCGAATGCCTGGGACCGGTGTGGCTCAGGTAAGAGTTTCCTCGTGTTAAATTTCAAAATAATCTATTTTTTCAGTCTATTCCAAACGCGAGAAGAGGACAAAAAACGAAGTTATACGCCTAGGACCTTTTAGATGACTTATATAATACTCGTCTGAAAAAAGCAATGGGGGACAAAATCGAAAAAAAAAAACATCAAGGGATCTATATAACACTGAGGAAACTATACTTAATGAAAAAAATAAATAACGTATCCGATTTTAATAGTTTTTCTACAATGCTATTATTGAATAATACTTGCTTTAAACATTTGCATTTAAACTTTGATCAAACTAAAATCAATAACTTTTATTCAATCAATATATTTATACTGGTATTACACACTTATATATGCATATATGAAGAAACTACCCTGCCTTTGCCAAAACCTCACTTCAATAAATTCTTCATCTTTTCCAGAAACTAATCACCATGATTCCCAAATGATATCTTTCGAATAACTTTTGAATTTTCAAAATCGATACATGATTTTGAGCAAAAACGTTGACAAAACAATTGTACTTATCTGCTAATCATGAGGCAACATCATAAATAGTTATATTTTTATCAATGGCTTTTAAAATTTTGAAATCCATGCAACCGTTTATTAGAAAACGTCGAAGAATGATCGTAGGCTACATTCACACACCCACACACACTGTGACATTTGGGGTATCTAATGATTCAGAATTTCTTGAAACGTCAAGAAAACAGGGGTTTTTCATTAATAATATAAATTACAAGATGTCTTATAAAGATATCGAGTAATAGAGGTGAAAAGTACAATACTTTTTATATAAATCTATCCAGTGGTAGGCTTTGTACCAGTAAAATCATAACGAATTTCTTTGGGACATATTGTAAACATTACATACGAAATTACAAAAAAGAAAAATTAAAGAAAAGAACAGAATAAAAATATGTAGTTAAATTGAATAATACAGTATAACTGACTTAAATCTATCGGTGCAATTCTATAATTTTTGTTCTTTTGAGCCCAAAAGGGTGAGTGATGTCATACAATCCTGCAGCTAGTTTATTTAGATATAATATTATATTTTTTTTATAATTTTGAGCAATTTTAGAAAATGTAGAGTTATGAAACCAGATTTTGTGACAAAAATATAAACTATTTTTACCTACATATACAACTTTTACTAAATCATACAACTTTTGTCTGAAACTATTTCCTTAATTTGTATTTTCTTTTTCAATAATAAATCAGTAATACGCTGTGGCTCAAGAAAAATGTCAATAATGGTTTGAAATTTATCTTCGACCATATGCGGCGACATTGACAAAAGACACAAAATTTTACTAGAAAATCCGTATCTTTGTGAACTTCAATAATAAAAGACAGATTTTGCAAGGTCGTACTTGCAATTAGCGCTAATCTCTTTTGGCAACATATGCAAAGAATTATCGTTTGTTGCCAAAGAATGGTACCTACGAGCTCCGAATGTTGCCATACACACATCATGATCCAAAAGAGATCAAGATAAATCAAGATGAAATGTATTTTGGTTTCTTGTTAATGAAGAACTAAGTAATTCAATTTTTTATTCGAAATTATATTTTTGTTTAAAATCATTCTTTCTTAACAATATTATATTGTACGTATATATAACTTCTATATGCATTTGAGTTAAGTTACATTGTATTGAAATTGAAAATAGCCCTTATTGAATGAAAAATGTATTTCTTTATTTATCACCAAATATAAAGAAAATGCATTAGTCATTAATATTTTGGTATTTACAGAATAAAAATTCGTTTAGAAACTCGTACATAAGTTAATTTGAAAATATATATCAAATCGAGAAAATTATTGATGGATATCAAATAGTTATAAAATTTACTTCAATTTCGAACGACTTTTTTATTAGACATGAATAAGTGAGTAATCAATCAATTTGATTTGTGTTTTAAATGATAGTAAACTTAAATTTATATTTTTTTCTATATGAAATCTTACAAACGTATAACTTTTTCAGTTAAGAGAAACGTCTAATGATAGTTATGATTGTGCAATAAAAATTTCTAGAAATACAATATACATAAACGAAAACAATTTTTCTATAGAAATTAACGTCGAAAATATCACTTCGCTGAACGAGTCATTCCTCTGTCGCGTGTGGACGCGCCTTTACAAGTGGCGTTTACTCCGTCACTTTCTGTAGGCGCGTTCATCAGTTAGTGCGAACGAGAAAGAGCAAAAGAGATTATGGAGGAGCATCGTTCCGCTCGATTTACTTCCTGCGACGACATGAATCGCATTCAAACACGATGACTGATTACACTTTTAGCATTTTTGGCCATTATTTATCTCTTTTGGATCTACATAAAGGTCTATGGAAGTACATTGACATCCTTATATATTTCTATACCATACTTCAAATGACAAATTTAAAAAATCACCCAATTTGAGATTAGTAGTTTCATAAGCTGCTCTTCTAAAATATAGTTTACATGCTACATTCTAATTTGTGACACATTTTTATATTTACAATACACGAATATAAACAGATACATGCACGCACACATACACGCGCGCACATGCATCCATATACACATATACATATACGTGTACGTATGCATATTTATTTATACATATATGTGTATCAAGTAAGAACTATCATATTTGAAAAACATTGGGGGCATTATTAAATTTATATTTCTGTAAGCTATATTTAAATAACATTGTGAGCATCTATTTTATGTTTAAATTACAAGTGAGCATGAATTATAATTAAAATCAGACTATTAATTACCAAATACGATATTCTATACAGAATTTAAATAAAATTGTTACAAGTTCAAAATAAAGTTATTTTAATACCATATCGAATATATATTCGAAACTATATCGAATTTTCTATACAAAGCAAATATGATCTTCGTTTAGTGTCAATATTGTGCTTTGAATAATGTAATGATTAGAATAATTTGCTTGCGAAATTAATATGTTTAGGTTTTATCGAACATTCTAAATGATGACATCAAATAATATTTGTTACTTGATACATATTTGTATATGTATTCTGAATATATTATATAGATCGTATCATTTCGTTAAGGCATTGAACGAATTCGACATAATTTCCCTCTCTTGCGGACTAGTGATTTGGAGTTAAAACAAAAACATGCCTCGACCGAGTATTTTTACAATTAAAAAATGGCGCCGATCGGCTCTTGCATATGCTATTCGTAAAATAATATATATGATACATGTATATGTATGTATAGCTATCGGCACTACTACTATATGAATATATAGTAGCGCAATTCGCTCGTGGTACATAGGGGCCTTATCTCGTGGGGAGATTGATAGAAACGCAACAGTCATCAGGCCCCAACAGACTAGACGCGCAACACTTGCGTCATGGAACAGAGTAACTTAATCAGTATTCTTTCTCTATCGTTATCGAAACGTATCTTGCGTCTTTGTTCCACTCATCCGCTGAAGTTGCGAGGGACAGGAAAAGCAATAGCGACAGCTGCAACTTTTTCTTACATCGGTTTCATTTTGTTACCCTTGTAATTTGACTCGACTGCTGATTGGTTTGATTTCGTACATAACTGCTGCTATCACTACTACACATGCATGCCTCTCTCCAAGTACTTTGCGCATTCGAAAATGCTTTGCGCTTTGTTCTCGGTGCGTGTTCCTGCTGTGACAGGGAGAATTTTCGGTTATATTGGACAGACATTTTGTCATTATTTTCAAAAATGCTAAAAGGGGATCGTGTTTGTTCGTCCGTCCAGGTTCCCTAAGGCGCTTTGATTTGGGAGAAAATCGATAATGCCATCTGTGTAGGGTCGACGTTGTATTATTGCCGTTCACATGAAACAGAATATGATTGTGTATGAGTCAGAAAGAGATGTTAGATGCTGTAGGCTTGTATTTTGGGCGTTCTGAGAGCTTGTGTGTTTTAACAGCTCAAATTGTTCATAACACGTTAGCTGTTGTATTTTGTATTATGTATTTGTTCATATATATACCATATATTTGTTTTTATCAAGCATAAATAAACAGTAATCATTACTTCCAATACAAACTGTATTTGAATTGAATTTTTGATGTTTTGATCATAAAAATATTCACGACAATTTATTTGTAAACTACTACCAGATGATATCGCTAATTCTATTTTCTTAGTTGATATAGTTTTCGAAGTCCAAGAAAATATAAAGTTTTATTAAATATAGTTTTAAATTATGCATTGCCAGATTCACCGATAGATTGTATTTATCTGATATTTTTGTTAATCTTAGATGTTTTTTTTGCAAAAATGGCGTAATGCAAAAAATAAGATGAAACATTTTTTAAAGTAAAACCTGTTTTTCAACATTTTATAACAAATCCTACAGAAAGGCCATAAATTTTGAGTTCGGTCTCATAGCCGTTAACACGAGTATTTGAGAGGGGTAAAATAAATAGGGGGACTAACATGCCGTTCTTTGAAAAAAAAACTATAGGGAAACCTTTGAACGGCATGGGAGCGATAAGGACGGCATTTTGTCAGATAATAATTATACCGAGAAACGCAAACCAAAAAATAACTATTCAACGAGTGCGAGTGAGAGGTCGCAAGCGTCGATCAACGAGAGCGTTAAAGAGGGATCGCATGAGCAAACCCGAAGAGAAACTGGTTTCTCCATATTTGAATTTTCGTTCCATTTTCTACATGTCCCCCACTCCAAGTGCCTTTTATTACGAATCCAAATTGACCAATAAGGTATCGGGTAGCTGGCATTGGTTCTCATTACGCGCATGCTTTCGGAATGTACACGCAGCCGCAGTTTGTGTCGTACTCTTGTGCCAGTATAAGCTGCTATCCCTTCAAATATTCGTTATTGTGTATTCACTGTACAGCCACAGAATAAATAAAGTGACGCTGCCGAAACCAATGTTTAAATGTTCGGTGATACTAAAAATAGTGTGCTAGTGTATAAAACTTAAGTGAAAATGTGAACAATTTCATTCTTATGTTTGTTTTTATTTAGTGATTGCTTTTTTAGACTAAACTTTTTGGTTTTCTTGTGTTGGTTGTTTTCATTTGAATATGGAACGTCGTTCTTACGGATTTTTTACAAAAAGGTATATTTAGTTTTATTATTATTTATTAATTTATATGCATTATTGGTTTATTCATATTATTTTCGTATTAAACCACGCATTATCACTCTTGGATAACATCATTGCAAAAGCTATCATGACAAACGAACAGGTATGGAGAGAACCAATTTCTGTTGTTTTTCTCGATGTTGTGTGTAAATATGTAGAACAGAATATTACTTTTTGTACGTTGGAGGCCTTAATCATAAAAAATGTTGAATGTCGACACGCCATGACTTCGAATACAAGTTTTACCGTATGCTTCATTCGTAAGTAAACGTATACTCGACACTAATACACACAGACATGGCAACTGAGCACAAACCATTGGTCTAAAGCCGTTTCGTGATACATGCTAGCGATGTAATTTCGTATACGTATTTATGTATTCTCATGCGGGCGAGGAGTTCTAGGGCGCTTGATTGTATTGTTAACTGTCGGCATCGTACAGCTGCCAGTGTGCTCGGTAAACGTCGGGTTCGCGCCGACTCTGACCGAACGAAACTCTTGTCTATCCGACTCGTTCTACATCGACCAGTGACGAAGTCGGCCGAAAGCGATAGAAATCGCATTCGTGTTCGTTAAAACGCTCCCAGCGTAGCAATTTCGAGCCGAGCGCTGCGGGCTCACGCAGTGAACGAATGTATGCGATATGAGCGGGGGCCCATGCCGAGATTTTCGATTAAGTTTAGACAGCCGAGGTACCTGAGCTTTTTTAGACTCGGCTGTGAGTAATATCTTTGAGATGCATTTTAGTATTTTTTCGGAAGAGCAAAAAATATATCGCGTACATACATAATACATAGTATTTCTTGATTTGTACTTTATTACTATATATTTGTTATAAATATCAATCTGTCATTGTATCTAAAATTTTTAGAAAACTAGTGGGGTTATGGCATCGTGCACAAAATGTTCGAATGTTTTCAAATAGATTATTATTAATATTGTAACATTGTTTAATATTCATAAGAATTATATAAACTGAATTGCAAAGTTGAAATTATTTGTTTAATGTATATTAGAACTTTAGTCAGAATTAAAAATAAAATCTGAATTATTTTCGATATCCAAAAAAAAACTAAAAAAAAGATACAATTTTGTTTTCTAAAATCAATTATTTTGTCAAAACAAGCTGAAAGTTCTTTGAATCATTTAAATTGGACGCTTCTCTCAAAAACTGCCATTTTTTGCACATTTAGCTCTGTATCTTTGAAATGGCTGGGCCTGCCATTGCCAAAAACTAATAATCACTTCTCCCAATCATTACTAATTGAATGTTTTTTAGATCATTCAAATCGAATGCTCCTTTCACTCAAAAACTTGATTTCTATTTTCTGCACTCTTTGCTCCGTATCTCCGTAACGGCTGGACTTGCCTTTGCCAAAAACTAATCTAATCTTTTCCGAATCATTCGATCTCTAAAGGAATCGAATGTTTTTTGAACCATTCAAATCGGTTGATCCGTGCGCCCGAAAACGTGACTGGATATTTGTATCCATACATACATACACACACACATCCATTTTTTCTGAGGTATGCCAAAATGTTCAGAAACCTTCAAAACGTCGAGAAATGTAAAAATTTTCAATTTCGATTTTCGGCCCATTACAATAACTTACCCTACGGGAAGCTAATTATTACAACAAAGTTTGCAAATACAAATCTTTAATGATTAATATATTTTTTACCTATATGCTATTCGTGATATTACACTTCGAAGAATTGCAGTTTTAGTGAAATTTCACCCAAAGCCTTTCATTAAAATTTATTTGTATCAAGGTTTAATCACAAGCTGCCATGAAGCAACTTATTAAGTTACTATAATTATATTTTTGTAAGTTATAATTTTGTAGTAAAAATCTATTATCCATTATCTATTATCCATTATTTATTATCTAAAAATCTGTTGGAAGTCACAAATAAAATTATTTCAATACCTTATCGAACATGTTTTCGATCGTAAGTGCAAATTTCTGACATCCCTTTGATAACACATACGTGAAGTTAGATTTTATGCGTAAAACTCCTAATCGCACAGCAAGTACATGGATCGTAATTACCAACTCATACGAAGATAGACCCGTAACATAACATTTTCTTCTTTTTTACAAAGGCAATGTTTTGGTTTCGTAGTAATATTTTTTCCTGCTATGTTGAAATTGTCGAGTCGTACAAACTTTTGTCAGCAATTTTCTTCCTGTGTTTATCACAACAAACAATGTTTGCGTCCCACATCTCAGGACAGAATTGTTTGCAAATTTGGTTCATTCGTTTCGAATGTATTTAAATCTGCATAAAATAATGAGGGATTTAGCAATTAAATTTGATAAAAATAAATAGTAATTGTTATGTGATAAATGTGCTATTTAATAATCTGTTTGAATTTATAATAGAAATATTAATAACGTCTAGTAATAAGCATTGAATATGTATTTGAAATATATGATATGTATGAGAGCGAGGGACTTGTTGTAACACTTTTTTTAAATTAATAAATCTTGAGATTCGCCGACTATATTTAACGTATGTAACATCTACCGTGGTAAGTACTAACGCCAAAAAAAGGACAATTGGACCTCTAATAATTTATTCTTATTTTTTTAAAAATTGACTTATTTTTAAGTAATTCTTAAAAAATCGTAAACTATAATTGATACAAATAAAACATATATAGTGTTTCTTACAAGTATATGGTGTCACTTTACCTGTGCCCACATATTGCAAACTATACATTCCACCCAACCTTCTTCACTTACATTCGTGTCTCTGATATAAAATTTCAAATTAGTCGATAATAATAACGCAAATCGAAATTTTAACATAGTACAATTTTATATTACCTGACAATAATGACGCACCTGCACACTTCTATATACTGCGTTGGCCTGCGGAACAATAGCTACGACAACGTCCAATCGAGACAAAGAAATATTTTAATATTATTTAAGATCTTATTGAAAAACGCCTGTTACTACTTTCCCTAGTTACAATAATCTCTTAGCCCCCATATTATTAATATATAAAGTAATTAGGGCAAAATACTGTCGTGATTGATACTTAAAATATTGAAAGATGAATATATTGAAACATTGAATGTATTGATTTTTTTTTTCATAAGCATCGTACCCGGGCGTCCAATCAATGGATTGGCATCTGATTTAGACATTTTTTATATACGACCAAAAATTTGCTGATGTTCAGGATGGAATTGGTGCAAATAAATGAAAAAAATAAAAAAATTTAGGCATTTTATGTACAAAAACTGATTTTTTTATCATAAACTAAAGTATTTAAATAAAGAAAATCATCTTTTGTTAGCAAGTTCTAAGACATTTGTGCAGACCTTGTATGCTATCTACAAAAATATTTATTAGGTTTAACACCCCAGTCGTGAAAATAAAGCATATGACTATTTCAAATATTTCTAAATCATCTTGTTGATCTGGGTGGCGATATCGGTTAGTGCGTGGGCTAGCAGCAACTCGTCCCAGGTTCGCTGGTTCGATTCCCGCTACCGCCGTAGCCCGACATAAAGCAGCTTTGATGTCAAATTTTCACTTGGGGTTATAGATCACAATATAATTCCAAGTGGAAATCGTATTCGTGGACAAAGCTGCAACATCCAAATACATGTTAACTATTAGACGTAAGAGCTAATATCAAAAATATCCCACATATAAGAGAATGGTAAATCGATGGATTGCCTCTCATGAAATAAGTAGTCATAAGTCTTAACCAACAGCTTATAGAACATATAGGAGTTCTGATTGCTGTTCAAACAATTACAAAAAAAAAATCTTGTTGATCAAAAACTATCATGATATTAGGCTATGAACCTTTTGCATTAGTAGAACCTATATCAGGAACCTGTTCACGGAAGCGAAGAGCGTGGCGTGCAGAAGAAACTGGAAATGCATGGCAAAGCGAAAAACATAAGATTTATTATTATTGCACCGTTAATCTCCATGTAGTGAGTGGTTAATAAGCCCATTTATAAAGTATATTTACTTATTATTATCTTTTCGCACCAATAGTTATTCGATTAACGAATTATTTAATGTACATGATCTTCTTATTGAATTTTTTTTAGGAATACAAATATAACCAGTAGGGTGTGATTATTTTTGACCGCCAAATGGCATTTATTTTTACTTTTTTTACTAGATCTCCGAAAACGCTAGACCTGCCTTCATGAAAATTCAATCAGTTCTTGTCAATACAAGTAAAATGTTTTTTGAATTATTAAAATCGGACGCTCTGTTCTCTTAAAAACTGAGTTACCGTTTGTGGCACTTTTTGCCCCGTATCTTCGAAACGCCTAGATCTGTCTATGCCAATAACTAATCAGCACCTCTCCTTATCAAGAGCAATCGAATGCTTTTTGAATAATTGAAATCGGTTGAACCGTGTTCCCGAAATCGTCGACGAAAATTTGTATCCGCACACACACACGCAAACACATACACACATACACGCACTCACACACATACATCCATTTTTTCTAAGGTATGGAAAAATGTTCAGTAGGTTTTGAAACGTAAAAATATATAAAAATTTTCATTTTAGATTTTTTTTGCGATTACTATAACTTACCCTACAGGATGTTAATAAGAAAGGCACCAATATAGTACATAAAAAACTTCTAACTGCATGTTTTTAAGCATACATTCAAAAATAGAGTATCAAAACGGTACTTCTTCCTAAATAAATACTTATATAAATTTTTTGTTGTAAATTTTTTATTTATGGTCAGAATAAGTAAATACAATGTTATTCTTAAAATTTTGTTTCACTTATTGTCGTTAAGTTATGAAATTCTAAAACAAATGCAATTTTACCCATGTTATTTCCATAAGAAACTTTGGTTGGATTGCGGACTATCTTGAAGTTAATATTAAGAGCTAAAACTTGCAGATAATTTTGTTTTATCAATTTGGAAACATTAAGAAATGCGAACATAAATATATTAAAGACCACCC